TACTGAATATCTCTGCAAATGATCAGCATAGAAAAAGACAACCCCCCTCATTGTGACCTGCATTTGACAGAATCCATTACATCGTTCCCGCACAACGACACGAACAGCCGTTTGCAAGAGCACTTTACTATGTGCAAGTGTAGAGTGGCATTTGCCTTTGCAAGGGGCAGATGCATGAGATCCGGTTTCTTGCGCCGGGCGAATGCCCTGCATTCACCCGATGGGATTCTTTGGATTTTTGAGACAGTGAAGGGGAGCACACTGCTTAACGGAAAGCCTTGCCTCGCGTTTTTCAGAGCAAGATTGTGAAGCTCTGATAATGGTATCATCAGAGCCTTAACAGTTTCAGACTGTTGTACATCATCCTTGGAGGCTGCAACCGTGGCTTTCAGTCCGAGTTCGTTGTTTTTTGCGGGAATCGTTTGAGCAGCTCAGTGGCTCGAAGAGGTATCAAAAGGGCAGCATAGTGCAGGTTTCACACTGGCTGTTGGTACACCAGTTTGGCGGTACACACTGCAGTTGAAAACACCTGGCAGTTTGTTTTCAGCATTTGTTTCAACAACTTTTCCATGGAGAAAACAGCTGACGCAAAGAGTTTGACATCTCACCTTCTCCGAGGCCTGATCCTCCACATCCGACAGTCGTTTGGGTTCGGCCCCAAGACAAACAAGTGGAAGCCGTGGAGTAGCTTAAACATTCCAAACAGTCAAAGTGACTGCAGAGCTTGGGAAGGTCCATACACTTTAGGACTTGCTTGAGGTGAACGAAGACTTTGTCCAGCCCGCCATGGGCCGACCAGCAGAGGAAGAGCAGCTGGGGGTCTTATTTACTACCATGTTGGTATGGGTTGGAATCCATGCCAAAGAGTTGCTCCTAGCTTGCTAAAGCTCAGACACGATGTGAACTCAGGTGCTTTGGTTGCCAATGCATGGCCACTTTTCCCGGGCCTTGGTTGGCCAACGGCACCTTTTCCAAGGAGTTCGCCATCACCGTTGCGACATTGCATGGCATTGTGGTGTTTTTCCGTTCTGGGTCTGCAAGAATCCAACAATGTGCGTTGCTCTTTGCGCATCATTTGCAGACAGCGACGACTGATTGGGTGCCTTTGGAACAAATGTGACATTGCCGTTTTGGCGGATTGGCTTCCAGCAATCCAGGTACACCTGCGAGGATGCAAAGTTGCAGAACCTCATTCCGGAGTTCCATTGGGGAGGGCCAAAGGACTTTGGGCGAATCGCATGCGTGTGAAATGACATCACAAGAGGAGCTAGTAGAGTATATATATATATATATAATTGTTTGATAGAATCACGTTGCACCAACATTTGGATCTGATCTTGTCATGTACATGAATGACCATGCAAGCATACTGCGCAGCACTTTGAATATTTGGCTAGGAACCAAATGATTAGTGCGAGCGCTTCTTTAAGGAAGCTCCCCCCGCCCTCAGGCGGGGGGAGCTTCCTTGAATAAGCGTGAGCTATCCTGCGTCCAGTAGCTAGGAGCGAACAAGTTCCCAGTAGCTTGCTTCTCCCTTACTTAATTAAGTAGGGAGGCGGGGGAGCGGGCTAAAAAAAGAATTACATAGTTGTTGCGGTCTTTCATGCGGCCATACCTGGACATGCTGCCATGTGGCTCCACAGCTGCGGCTTGAGCCGCAAAAGGGGACACACATCATGTTTGTGATGTTAATTAGCGAGATTGGCAACACTGTGCAATCTGTGGATAGCAGCACGATGCAGCACTCATTATTTCTTCCCCAAACCTTCTACTATATATTAATATTATATATTCCCTTTGAAAGCAACATGTTATTCTGTCAACTACTTGCTGTGAGTTGTCAGCTCAGTTCTTGATTCAAGCGCGACCAATAGATTTGGAAAGACAGCTTTGTGAAGCAGGATACCTTCACCTTGCAAGCCGGACCATGGTTTCAGCTCACAACGGCAAACAACCGAATCAAGACGTTGTACCCACTGTTCCAGATCTTCCTCTCCTGAGACGTGCAGTCCATACCGCAGGTCCATCACAAGTTTGCCAGTCGGTTGCTTTTTGCGTGGCCGTACTCCAGTTTGTAGATTGTTGCACTTTCGCTCAGAACACGTGCAACGCATTTTGGCCTCGATGTTGAGCCACAGAATTTGGAATGGCAGCCGCAGGCAGATGTGGTGCGGACGCTTCAGGATCGCATTGAATAGGCAGGACGATCTACCTGGAGAGACACAGTTTCAAATTCTGCATTCTCTTTTTTTCTGTGCTAGACTGCTAGATGTGCATTGTTCTTCCGTATCGCCAGGCCGAGTCTAGGGCCTGGAGCACCTCTGCTCACAAGGCCAATTTGGTCTTGGCTTGATTTATTTGTGGACTTCAGATTATAAAATATACGCAGCCTCACACTCCATGAGAAAGATTGGTTATTTATCTTGCAGAACGGGCAATGCCGATGGCTGCTTGAGCATTCAGTTTGGAAAGTGGCTAGGCATCCAGATGGGCTGACTTCAAACAGTATGTGCAGGTGCACTTCTTAGTTTGCACCAGAGTGTGCTCAGAGAGTGCAGCCTCTTTTCTCCGGGCAAAATCGGCACAGAATTCCTCAACAGCCAATGCCGAAACTGAGGTTTTCAGGATCTTACTCTCGCATCATGAAGCGCAATCGTCCTCCCTACATTGACTTTGAAACAGGTGCGATGTGCTTGTTTGACCAATCCTGCCATTGATACCTACATTTCCCACTGCAGTGCTCGTGTGAAAGGCAGCATGAACGACTTTTTTGCAGGAGAATCAGAATGCTTTGTAATTGTAGCGAGTCGGATATGTCCTCCTTGAGAGGTTAAGCTCCTCCCAGACAATTCCAGCATTCAGAATGAGTAAGATAGATAGCGCCAGTTTTGGCGCGAACGTACTGATAAAGCCTGCCTGATTCATCCCGATTCTCTCCACTGCTCCTTGGAGATCAATTGCCACATCGCAGGTTTTCCAAAGTCAGATCCTCCAAAGCAGACCGTAGTCGCTGCGTTTACTCTCGTGCAGATCTCAGCCTGCAATGTTCTGTATATACACACCCTTGAATTGGGCGTACCACAACTTAGGTTGATGATTGACTGGTAAAAATGGGGGCAACAAGCCTCAACCCACAAGCACTTTGGAGCCTATGTTTCTTACTTCTTACCCTTCTTTCAAAGAACACATGCAGGACAATCACACCTGTTGAAGCAATTTTCAATGAATAATAGAAGGTAGTCTAAATTCCTGGTGTTTGCTGAGGCAAAGCAGCAGAAGCTGGAAAAGCTCTTAGAGGCGGGTTTCGAGTTGAACTTATCAGAGACCAAGGATCACAGGGTGCGGCTGATCTACCATGCTTGGAAAGAGCGCAGCCAAGCAACATCCTTTTACAAGTTTTTCTTGCACAAAGAAGCCATTTCTTTTTAGCCTGAAAGAGGAAGAATAGAAGACGAAGGAGAAGAAGAAAACAAGAAGAGGATCAGAGGAAAAATAGAAGATGATGAAGAAGACGAAGACGGAGACGGGGACGAAGAAGATCTGTTTTTGCTTCATGGTGTTTGGGAACAGGGCCTTTGCCAGGCCACTCCGCAGAAGACTTTCCGCGGTCGTGCCACTACCTGAGAGTTCTTCTCTGTGGCCATACAGATTGGAATTTGACAGGTAGACTACCTGTTTACTTGGTTTACTTCTTACAACTCATAGTATCACTCGCATCCGACGCTCACTGTGAAACTGTGTCCGACATGTGCAACGCACTCTGATCTATGCACAAAATAGTAAAACATATGACCCACAGAAGTACATGCAACACCAGTTAGATTGCAGAGATCGAAATCTTCCTTACAACTCGCGGCCTCGAAGGTGGAACCCGTCGTAAGATTCGTTCAGACAAGCTGTAGAGGTCATAAAGCAGCTTTCGACCAGAAGAATACGTCACGCGGGCCGGAATGACGTCGGAAGGACGGGCTTTACACAATGCTCTTGGGATATGCGAGCAATGGTGAAGGGCCAAGCACAGCATCATGACATACATATTGTACTGGTCAGACATTAGGGTCACCACCATTCAGATACCTTGCACCTTGTCCATGACAAGCAACATGGAAACCAAGACCCGTATACAGAGGGAGAGGGACGCAGTTTCAACACCAGTCAGCAGTTGTTAGGGAAAAGAGAAAGAAGAGAACCACATCCAACCATCACTATGCAGCATCCATTTTACTGTATTTGTGGAACTAGGTCGATGAATGATGCTTCAAAGAGTAGGTGAGAAGTCTCAAGTGGAAAGGTCATGCAACACGCTGAGTTTTGGGGACGGGAAATCAGGAACCCAAGGTGTTTAAACATACGGTGCAAAAGTATTAAAGAAGCAGTCCATTGCAAAGGAAGTCTAAGTTGGCAGAGTAATTCATTGGTAAATCAGCTTTGTAGAGCAAAACAAGTCAATCTCAAGCAAGAGACTTAAGACTCATCACAGTGTGCAACTTGAACTAGCAGTGCTTATAAAAACCCTGGAAAAAAGCTCTGAACTGACTTGGTCGTGACACATTCCGTCTGTTACGTCTTCTGCTAAAGATGATTCCAGACTACTCCGTGCCCTGACTCCGTGCCCTTGTGCCTTGTTTGCTTCGTCCAGGATTACTACCCGACACCGGGAGGGTGGCACTATGCAGCGGCTTCGCTTTGTAGATTTTAAGCGTGCTCGCAAGGACCCTTGCACTGAACAGTTGTTGCATTTTGGACCACTGCACTTGACAAATGAACATACTTCACTTGAGCCAAGAAGCCGTTAGAAACTAGAATGTTGAAAACAGGCATCTTAAAAAGAGGAGCACATGCTGTCAGGATATTCCTGCCACAGTGTTGCGCATTGAGTACTCCCCAGAGCGTACATCTCACATTGCACTGATCCAGTATCAGGCGGGATTGGGAACGTGAGCAGTGCAGGTTCCGGAAGTCTCTCAAAGTCGGTGTTGCGATGGAGGTGGTACGTGCAAGTGCTAACCACTGCAAGTCAACGCTGCAAACACCAAACACCAAAACAAACGGCAGCCTGTACAGGTTCTTCAAGAAGTGATATTGTCATGGCCCAGCCATAAGTACTTGTTAGCAACTTTGCAGCGAGGCCTGCAGTCACAGCGATAGGCTGCGCCTGAGTGAAAATTCCTGTGCCGCTTTGGAGGGGTTGGTGACAGGATGGGGTTTTGAGCTACATCCTGGCTCCGCTGACGCTCCGGCCTGGTGACCAGGCACTGAAATTGGTGCCTTTTGGACGCTAAAATCAAGCTTTTGCACTCCAAGTTTCCGCTAGATACAACAACTCTGCAGTGCTCCCCAACAGAAGCGGTTTCCCAATACCTTTCGGTCTCTAATTTTTAGGATTGGTCGGCTCACTATACATATATATATATAGATATATATAAGTGTTAGCTGACCAAAGCTGCTGTACATAGCTGTGGCATTTCAAGCATTTTTTAATACTTTTTTGCATCCCCGAGTGCTGTTTGAGCCGGAGGTCGTAGCAAGCGAGGCTGCCAACATTGTACCAGGAAACTGCCTACCACTGAGGCAAAGCTGGTGAACGCACAGCTAACCTCCATTTGTAATCAACGCATTCAGTATGGGCAGTATGGGTTTCAAGTGTACGGTTCATCCAGAGGATGCACGCTCGAATTCACTGTTTCAGGAACATTCCCGTTGGTTCGATCATTCACAACATTGAGCTGCGACCAGGCCTTGGTCTAGGCTATACAAGTCAACCAGAAGACCCAGTTGCTTCGTTGAAGGGATCTTGAAGGTTTTCTGTTGATTTTCTCTCTCAGCAGTTCCTTCCATCATCGGGTCCGCAATGATGTTTGATGGATCATCTTCAGGTTTCTTGACATATCTTGACCCCTTCCGTTTTGCATTCCATTTTGTTCCCTTTCGGACGAAGCACACGGTGCTTCTGTGTGGGGCGTTGATGTGAGGCGCTGGCGGCCAGCCCGATGCTAAGACTCCTTTGTTAAGACAAAGCAAAAACAGACATCCTCATTCCTCATGTTCAAGATTTGCTTCTCACAAGATGAATACTTCTTGTCCCATCAGATCCGAGCATTTGATTTGCTATGGTTGCAATGCTGTGGTTTGCATTCTTTGCCAATCTGCCGGTTGCTCTGGAACTTTGGGCGCAGTTTTTCAGTGTAGGTTCATTCGCGCTGCGGGCACCTTTGCGACCATTGTCACGAAGGAGAGAGGACGAAAGGTGTTCGTTCGACGCACCAAGCAAGTTGAGAGCAGAGCCACATCGCCCAGAGGACCGACAATACGCCACAATCAAGCTGCGGTCCACAGAGATCCGAAAGTTCCCATTGGAATGCTGGCAGCACTGGCTGTTTATGGTGATTTTTGATGAACACTTGCACTATTTTGCACTTATGTGCACAAGTGCTCGACACTTTGTATTTTTATGTATTTTTCATATTTTTCATTGATGGAAGTAAATATATACATTTATTAGTACAAACAAGTACATCCACAGAAAGTCACTTGAGATCTGGATGCAGTGTGCAGCACTGGAACACCTGCTGCATGACAGGGCATCAATAGGACAGCTTTCGCATTTGGAGCGGGCCATGCGTTTCAAAGGCTCTCAGCTTAGTTAGTGGAAGATCTAAGAAGGGCATGTACAGATATGACAGTTTATGGCATGATAGTATTATGAAAGGACAAACTGATACTGTGTATATACACTCTAGTATAACAGTATAACTGTATAACTATTATGTTTGTTTCTCTTGTATTCTTGTGAAGTTAGGCCTCACATGGGATTTCTGAGGCAAAGCTGGCATCAATCGCTGGTTGGGTTGGCGGCCATCCGTGCGAGGGACTGCAATGGACCCGCCTGTGAGCCCAGGATGCAGTCCACATCCAGTCTAGCGTCCTTGCTCCTAGTAGCTATGCCAGGAGCTACTAGTAGCGTCCTTGCTACTAGCACATCTCCGGCTTAACCTCAACTCCACAGACCTTACGTCCAACCGTTAGCATTCTCATTTCTGTCGAAGAAAGGTATGAAAATAGAATGCCATTGCCACGCCATGTGCAAATAAAACCAGGAGTACTAGAACTCATTAGAAGGCCCCTGTCCTCAAATCTAGACAAATCTTGTTTCTCGTGTCTCAGGCACACTCATCCTCATGGTGGTGGCACAAGTGCAAAGCACACGAAAAGGCCTCTCCTTCGATTCAACACTAGACATTCTCTTTCGATTGTACAAAGACTCATTCAACATTACAGAACTTGACGGGTGCAGCCTTTGCATGTTCAGGCCACCGGTGTCTCCGTGGGGTATTTTACGCACGGGATACAAGACTCGGTCGCCGCTGAAGCCTTTGGGTTCCTTAGCCAAGTTGATGGCAATGTTTTTGTTTTCATTGTTTTTTTGAGGCCGTGACGCACGCATCAATGATTTGGTTGCTAGATGTTTAGGGAACTTAACTTAACCATGAGAGCTGCACTGAGCAAATCACGTTCCTAGCGTACATGAAGCAATAGGAATCGGAACATGTTCATAAAAGTTTTTTGAAATTAAAATTGACATAGTGTCAGTGTTCACAAAAACTGTTATCCCAACATTCTGGCAATTTGAATTTGAGGTTTGATTGTGCGGAGAAAACTTCCTGGAAAGGTGGGTTTCAATAGCTTATTAACTTGCTTGCTGTTGTGCTTGAACAGTGTGCCTTCTGTGAATATTTTTGGCATCAAGCTGTCCCTGTCAGATGCAAAAGAAGTTTGGCATTGCATCGTGAAACGCGTGCTCAGTAGTCAGTAGTCCAAGCAATCAAGGTCAAGTCCGTTTGCCCACCAAGTCCATACAACTTTTTGAAGGAGGTCCACTCACTCACTCCCTAATGTTATGGGCTTGAACAAAGTCCTTTTCAGGAAAGGAGGCTGCAGGGAGTTGAACCTTGGTGGTTTTGTGGCGTTAGTCATCGTTCCTCTGCCTTGCGAGCAACAGAGCTACCCTACAGGGTTCAGATCTTGACCTTGCCTTGCGCAGAGGAAAAGAGCTGTCCAGAACAACAAAACGGAAGAGAACATGAGAGAACCTGTAAGTAGTCTTGGCATTGTTTCACGCATGCAGTGTTCATTTCCTCTCACAATTTTGGACCTAAAAGATCAATGCTTCCCAGATGTTCCAACTAGTAACAAGAAGCAACTAGGAACAAAGGGCATCGCTACTAGCAACAAGGACGCTACTAGGGGCTCCTGGCCTTACTACTAGGAGCAAGAAGCTACTAGGGGCTCCTGGCCGTACTACTAGTAACAAGAACGCTACTAGGGGCTCCTGGCCTTACTACTAGGAGCAAGAAGCTACTAGGGGCTCCTGGCCGTACTACTAGTAACAAGGACGCTTTTGTGTTCACCTCCCAAAAGTCTTTGCGTTTCGTCAGGACGGCCAGAAGTGCCGCTCCTGCCAGGCTTTCGCGTTGACAATCGAGGCACAGCGCGTTTTCTACTTCAGATTAGCCTCGTAGCACGTTGGGCAAAGGATCTGGACTATCCAAATGGCATGGGCTCACCCGACAACGTTGTGCATAATATTTTCTGGCCACCCTGCCCTGTTTGCACAGGCGAGAGTTGTTTGTTTGGGGAGGGTTCACCGTGTGATGCTATCTCTTCAGGTTGGTTTAAGGAATCTTTTGGAGTTCCAATTCCCAATTTGCAGTAACGTCAGCCTAAAATCCTGAGTAGCCTAACTATGTGTATATAGATGTACGTGTCATACATGCGCACCTGTATGAATCGAATTTGCTTGAGTCAAACAGTGCCAGGGTTGCAAACATTCCGGGTGACTGGATGGCGATTAATGAAACCGCGGTGGTTGAGTTGAGTGAGGCACTCCAGCCATGTGCAAGGATTGTTTTGCGTGCAGTTTTGCAAGCAGTTGCAGATTTGATCCATTGATGCATGTGTCTCAAGCCATTTGTACAAATGTGCAATGGAAGCATTGATTGAGTCTATTTGAGTATACTGCCAGTTTGCTCCAACCATGGTTGTGGGCCGGAACAGCGTGAAGCTTGGATGGGTTGTAACATTTCAGCAAAGCTGGGACACTGACACAAAGTCTATTGTTGGAAAGGAGAGGAATCTTGGAGATGAAGGGGTGGGAAGTAAGTGAAGCAGCTGCCTTTGGCCTCCTATGTGCCCAATTTCATCCAACTTCCCTGTCTTCATTTTGGATCATCTTGGGATAGTGCGGCTGTAACGAGGTAGAGGTGACCGGGGAATGGAGCCACCTTGTCCGGAGAAGGGAATGCATCGGCAGGGAGCTAAGCCAAAGTGCAGCACCATGTAGCACCGAAAAAAGCAATAGAGATGAACAAAAAGGCCATTGTGGTCGTTACGGTCTCTTTTTTTTCTAATCTCTTCTTGTTATTACATTTTATATGCAGAAGTTCTGAAGGGAAGACTGAAGTCTGTTGACTGTTGGCTGTTTGATCCAGGTATCATGTGGTGATGTGGTCTCTTGATTCGTCCACCCGGCTGATTACGGTCAGAATAGACCTAGCAGATGAATGTCTGACTGTCAGAGGTTTATTTTCTTGCATAGAGCAAGTCCATACACTCCACCAGACTCTCCACCAAGATGCCACCTTAAAAAGCTCTTTTGTAGGCAGCTCGATGACATTGACTCCGACATTAGCTATGGAGCTTTGAAGTCCCTCTTGGAGGTGCACCTTTCCAGTTTGCCATTGTAGACGAGTAGCGTCCGCGTTGAGTACGTGGCACGCAGACGCTGTTTTCGGGTATCTTTGGCAATCGTTTGATGCTTTTTGGGACTATATATGCTGGCTATGCCAAAGAAAAGCCGAGGCCCGTAGACAACCTGGGCACTAGAGCTCGCCGCCCTTATCAAGCTCGAACAGTTCCATACATTGGCATTTTTAAAATCTAGCAAGCACATGCTTGCAGACACAAAAGACTTGTGCTGCTGATTTGTGTTGATCAAGTTCACTCGTCCCACCCATCATTAAGTTTGATGCCATTCGTTCACTCTCGCCCAATAGATCCCAAGCTTTGAAGAGAACCAACACATCACACGGGAGTTCAGTTGAGTCGTCCTGATCGCCAAACAGTCCCTCATTAAGCTGCGTGGCTAGTTGGCGCCGCACACATGCCAGAATTACGACAATCGTTGTTGGGCGAAGAGTATCGCTAGTGTTTTATTCACAGTCTTGCCCAGCATGTCCGACGACATGTGCCAACTCTGCAGCTGTCACGCCTCCGAGCATCCAAGCTTCCAAGGCCAGCTGTTTGCTCATTGAGTTTCTTTTTCCTTTGCTTGCCAATCATGGGATCTGGCCACAGGCTGAAGCATGGCTGATGAGGTGTGGATCAAGAGAAGGGAGCATAGCAATAGCAAGTTCACCCGAGATGCGGCGTGGTGACAAGTCAGTCAACATGAAAAATGTGTTAAACACACGCACAAAAACACTTATTGATTTGCTTTGCTCTTACTGTTTAAGTTCTGCTTGGTATTTTCTTACTTCAGGGGAAGCTGACAGCCGAAGCCCTTGCGCAGCTGGAGGATTGCAACCATCGAATAGATGAGCAATCTTGAAGACAATGTAAGGAGATATGACTGTGGGTCAAAACCGGGACCCCTTAGTCCCCGGTAGGTTGACCTCCCTAGTAGTCTATTCTGTGCATGTTCGGTAGTCAACCAGGGTGTGTCGCAGTTTTGACCCACTGCCATATGCCAAAAAGGCACCCCTGGCATGTGTCCAGAGTCTCGCGTCAATCTTTGGACCATGACCTATAAGGGCCAATGCGTGTCCAGCCAGCCCAGGAGGATGAGGCACAGCGACAGGATGCTCCGAAGAAGGCAGGAACAAATACACAGATCTAAATCTTACTGTACCTTTCAATTACCATGAAATTTGGCAAATCTCATCAACTTCAGAACTGCACACCTTACCCAGACTACTTTTCCACTTGTTGCAAAGAAGGATATCATTGAGGTTCCTGTGGTGGTGAGGAGCACAGGAGACGTGACAAGGGCAAGGAGGTCACAGATGACAAAGAACGAAAAGGGAGCAAGGCCTGTGGTTGTCCAAGATGTGACATGACTTTAGACGACGTCTTAAGACAACGGTGTCCCAGAGCTGCTCTTGCATCCTGACTCGTGCAAGTTCAAACTCATGTAAATGCTTCAAAGAGGGAAGCAGTGGTGGTTGTGGTAATGAAGCAGTCCAGCAAGTCTAGCAGTGCGCATTTCAACAGTAGTCTGTAGATTCTGTAGTCTACCAGTTTGTTGCTTTTGTCGTTTAGTTTTGGTAGCACTCGCCCGCTTCAGCCTACAGCTCTGCTTTGTCATGCTTGGGAAGCTGCAGGAAAGCAAAGTAAAGTCGCCTGATGAGTCTTGGCAAAAAATGGCCATGCAAATCAGGGCAGAGCTGGGCTAAGCTTAGTTTCTTCAGCAAGCACGCTCTCCTTTTTCCTGTTTAGCATTCTTCTGCCGGAGCATTTAAGAGCTTTGGTTGCCTCCATTTTGTGTGGATCCTGGATTGCGAGGAGATTTTTGGGCCCAGTGATGCGGAGGGAGAGGCCTGAGGAATATGTATCACTTGCATTCAGTTGCTGCCTGCCAGTCGTGCCACTTTGGATAGCTGTAGTCTAGATAAAATCATAAGACTTTTGAGAATGAGGGACATGATGCGTGATGGGAAACAGCAAGGCAATGCAATAGGCCTGAACAGAGCAAACTTGTCACGGTGGGCCTGGCTTGCATGCACCCAGGCTTTGCTTCATGCCTTTCACACCTTTTGTTCAACCTTCATCAGTTTGTATAGCATACTTCAGCTATCCTGTTAGGTCAGATTCATGTAGAAGCAAACATATTGACATGCTATCTTAAACAATTCTCTCTTCAGAATATCAGACCCTTGATGCATGTTGATGCCACAAAGGAAGATCAGGAAGGGCAAGAAGGGGGTGAGGAGGATCGGGCCCAAGAATGACAAGACGCAATAGCACGGCAAAATGGCAAATGGCATCCTGAAAGAGAGTTCAACCTCCGCAAGTTAGGGTCTTGAGAGCACAAGCACACTTAACTTTGGGTTTGTCATAGGTTTGCCTGCCTTTTCAGGAGCCCAATGAGCAAGATGCAGAGGTAAAGGAGTATGTCTGGCAAGTTTCTGGATCAGGTCTCCACAGTCCATGGAAATGCATCTCATGGGCATGGAATCATGGCATGCACCTTTTGGACCCCAAAGAGCAAATTCATGTGATTCACCGGGATTTTCAAGACACGCCAGACCTGGGCCTCCAGGAGCACCTACAGGTTGGGATTGAAGATGTGTGAATTTAAATGTTGAAAGTTGAATTTATGCCTTTGGAGTGTGTTTGTCAGTGTTCTAGATTGACTCTCATGATTCCCCGTCACTACAGTCCACAGTTTCTCATAAATTAACTCTTGAAGTTGCCAGAGCGTCGTGACGAGTGCGGCTTTGCAAGCAAAGGTTTCACCATGAAGTGGGATTTTGAAGCAGAAGCTTGGAAGCATACTTTCAACAGTGGAGAACACCACACCATGGCATTTATGCCCTTGGTGCCGTTGGCAGAGGGGAGACGGAATCTCACCCTACAGACGCTCAAAGCAAAGCATGTTCTGCAGCGTGGAGCTGGAAGGCACGGAGATGCGGAAGAATGAGCCATCCGCCAAAATACCGAAAACACAGAAAACCATGAACACACAGATATGTGATATGTGTGAACACTGTACGACCAAGGAAGAATCACAAAGTCCCCAGGGAGAGGTGTGCACCTGAGATCGTGCTGCTAGAGTGCTTTGTACTATTCTTAGCTTTCTGTGTTCATTGCGAACAGGGTGTTTGCGTTCTGGGTTCCACTTACAGCATGTTTGCTTTGCCCAGGAAACCAAGTTCGAAGACTTGACACTTTATCACGCATCATTCCCAGCTGCATTCCTTGGTGTGCCTCTTTGCATACCATATCAACACAACTGTGTGGCATGCCATGCTAAGGTTGGGACACAAAACAACGAGGTGGCAATAATTGCCCCGCTCTGAGCGGACAAGATTCCTTTTGCAGTTTGACATATTGAACAGTTTATATAAGCATACTGAGCGGCATACCAGACACTTTGAGCATTTGTCATAATTTGAGCCTCTCAGAATCAATTCTTTGTTTTTGTTTCCAGGTCCCCAGCAGCCAATGTGCCTCACAACTGCCAATTGTACCAACCAAGCAGATTAGACCGGCGGGCCAGAAGCCGGACAACACATGGGCATGAGCTAAGCAACAAGACTCAAAAGAGATATATACATCTACTTTCAGAGGCACTTCCTTTTGAAAGTAGCGGTAACACAGGGCTACGCATGGTTCAGTTTTGCTCGGGCTGATGTTTTGATGCACAACTTGGCTGTTGCCCGCACAACCTGTCTTCAAGATCCTACGTGTGACGACATATTTGTGCTGGTTCTACAAATTGTTGCGGCCCACGCGGAATACAGAAGATCACCTGTTTGTGCGTGTATTTGTGCTGGGCCACCCTTTCGTTCTTACAGTTCTTAGTCACATTACATTGCGGCATACATGAACATGACCTGAAGGACAAAACAAGAAAGACAGCCTGAGCGTTTTCATGAACCAAGATGCAACATTTGCATTCTCAGCTGATGATTGAGGTCATCCCAGACTTGTGGGGCCTGAAACTCATTTCAAGCCTTTTCTGTATCATGTACAGCACGATTGTTGATGTCTTTATAAAAAGCACAAGTAAACCCGTCAGAGTAGATCTCAGATCACATGTCGCCGATAAGTGCCAATGATCACATGAGCTCCAGGGTGGCAGGCACCAAGAGTGAGACTGCTTGCTGACTACATAGCAAAAGCTATTAATGGGTTTGCCCGGGGGCCTGAACTGCCGTTGAGTTTGGTTGAGATTCTGATTCTGTAGAATCCGGAAAATACATGTGCCATTTGCCCAGGCTGTAGTACCTCGATTTCTGGACTGTGGGCCGCGGGTGCTTTTTCGACTGTGAAGAACTAACTTGCAAAAAAGGGTTCAAAGTTAGCCATGCGAATGGCACTCTGCCATTGGATGGCAGGACAACCCACCTTACAAGGAAGGGCCTCACGATGATGGTGTGCCTGAAGACTTCTGCATCAAGAACCTGGACTGGTGAGATTTGCACACAAAGAATTGGAGCTGACTACAGAAGAGAGATGGAAAGAAGTCGGGAATGTATATAATAAGGGAAATCAAGGAAAGCCTCCCTTCACTGCAACGATGACTAGTGAGAGGTGGACATGAGATAATTTAGAGTCTTAATACTGTACGACCATTGGTTTAAAGAAGCTAAGCATCATGAATTACACTGGGCAATGCGTTTGCTGAGCTTCCGGAGGATAAGGACCTGCCTGGATCTCAACCTCTGCCAGGGGTGATGACACAACCCCTAGTAGCGTCCTTGCTCCTAGTAGTAAGGCCAGGAGCCCCTAGTAGCGTCCTTGCTCCTAATCTTCAGGTACTTTCAGACGCAATCTTTTCACTTAGGATGAGCCTGCGTAGTTGGCTGATGAAGGATGTCTCAGATCTCAGTCCAAGGTAGTCCAGAACAGGAATGTGTTTGGAGGGTGCATTTCTTGAGAGTTTGGATAGTGACTGATTAGCTCACTTGATTGGCTCACTTAACAACACTTGAGCTCACAACTCTTCTACTTCCTGTTTTTCACATGAAGCCTTGAAAACAACTACAGAATCAATAGAGTTCTGCCGTTGCATGGCTCGGATTGCTGAGACCTACGAATTCTTTCTCATGAAATTCAAGATTGCGGCCAACTTTGTACGTCGCACTGCTGGTGCAATCAGGAACATATCAATGTGTCCAGATACACAGATGGGTCTAGGGGTTGAAGGAAACTCAAAAGCATGCTCCAAACTGGCCTTTGCTCAGTTGTTTCTACTTTGCTGCAGGATTGGTGTTGTTGGCATTGGCTGGGGTGCATGGATGGCTTGCTACGGTGCCGGGTCAGAAGCTGCAAAGGGCATTGATTACATTGGTTTGGTTTTTGACTCGTTTTTGAAGGAAGAACTTCAGCAAGACAAAGTTGAAACCCTGGTGCTTGCAACCGGCCAACTCAACCTTCCTTTACGACAGGTGCTGAGTCGTTGCAGGCGGAGTTTTCCTGTGCTGTGCCCGATGCCAAGCTACATGCGTGTTTAAACCTTTTTTGGCCTCAAGCTTTCAGAACTCCAAAAGAGCACAATAGAGGAGCCCACAGTGCATTTGAAGACTTCAATCTTGCAACGTTAATGTTTGGTCATATAAACAAGATGCTTATGGAGCTCGCCATTGCCATGCATTTTGGCCGAATCCTGCAGGTTACACACCCCGCTTCTGCACATCCTGGGCGCCTGGGACGGCGTGAGCATCCCACGATTGATTGGGTCGGGAAGCTTGGGAGCTTTTCACTAGGGCCGGCCTTATACCGTCCAACAGGAAGCATATCTCTTGAGACTTCAGCTTTGCACTCAAACTTTGTCAAAACGTGGAAAGTAATGGACACAATTTTGCACTCTTGTGAACCAAGGAAGTTTGGTGGGCCTGCGATAGCCTCGGAATAGAAAAGAGAGAGCACAAAAGCTAGTCCTTGAAGTTTTTGACAGTGTTTGGGGTCTCACTCTCGCCAAACCTGTTGCCTTGTTCAACTTGACTAGAACATGACGAGCCTCGCCAGGACACATGTGAATTTGAGGTCCTTTTTACGCTGCCCGCAGAAGCGCCAAAAGAGTATGAACGAGGAGGACAATTGCTGGCGACATTCGCAGCTGATCAGCTTGTGAGGTATCAAAGTCATTCATCTTTGCTGCCCGGTCTGTATGGGAGGAGAGTATTTTGAGGTGAACGAGGCATTATTTCGCAGGCCAGCTACAGTACTGGGCAAATGCTTTCAACTGTTCTATCAAATTATGTTTGGATGTGCTTGACTTGGTTCAAACACATCTACCATTTACTGTAGTGCATTTTTTTGTGTGCCGTTACACCTTTAAATCTATTGCCGGACTGACAGAACTAAATGCGATCTTGTAAAGCTGACAAACACCACGGAGGGAGCACAAACATCCAGGCAGACTGAATGTGACGATTTCAGATCCATGCCTTATGGCTTCGTGCACTTCTCAGTGGGCAGCAACTACATGGCGGCCCCCACCCGAAGAGCGATGGCCTCCAACCTCCAACCTATAGCGATGGCCTCCAACCTAATAGCGATGGACTCCAACCTAATAGCGATGGACTCCAACCTAATGGCGATGGCCTCCAACCTAATGGCAAAGGCCTCCAACCTAATAACGATGGACTCCAACCTAAGAGCGATGGCCTCTGACCTAAGAGCGATGGCCTCCAACCTCCAGCCTGTTAGCGATGGCCTCCAGCCTGTTAGCGATGGCCTCCACCGTAATAGCGATGGCCTCCAACCCAACAGCGAAACCTAATAGCGATGGCCTCCCCCCTAAGAGGGATGGCCTCCAACCTAATAGCGATGGACTCCAACCTAATAGCAATGGACTCCAGCTTAATAGCGATGGACTCCAACCTAATAGATGAGCTGCAGGGTAATAGCGATGGACTCCAACCTAATAGCGATGGACTCCAACCTAATAGCGATGGCCTCCAAC